GAACCGACTCGAACTAATAAATGGTATATTGTACCGCAGAAGACAAGAAGGTGCACACACGTCTTATCAACTTGTACTGCCGGAGGAGCTGAGGCCCTCTGTACTAAAGAGCCTTCATGACGACCTTGGCCACATGGGCATTGAACGTACTCTGGACCTGGTCAGAGCGCGTTTCTATTGGCCTAAAATGTCAGCCGATGTGGAGCAAAAAATTAAAACTTGTAACCGTTGTGTACGACGGAAGTCTTTACCTGAAAGAGCAGCACCACTCGTGAACATCACTGCTACAAGGCCACTCGAACTTGTGTGTATGGATTTCCTCTCTGTAGAACCAGACTTGAGTAACACCAAAGATATTCTGGTCATCACAGACCATTTTACTAAGTACGCAGTGGCCATCCCAACCACGAATCAGAAAGTGCAAACTGTAGCTAAGTGCTTATGGGAACACTTCTTTGTGCACTCTGGCTTCCCTGAAAGACTTCACAGTGATCAAGGTCGGGACTTTGAGTCTTGAGCAATAAAATAACTGTGTGAGCTCATTGGTACCCAGAAAATCAGGACTACTCCATATCATCCAAGGGGCAACCCCGTTGAACGTTTCAACAGAACCCTACTTAACATGCTGGGAACTCTTGAGAATCAAAAGAAGTGCCATTGGCGAGAACATGTCAGACCTTTACACACGCCTATAACTGTACTAAAAATGACGTGACTGGGTTTAGCCCTTACGAGCTAATGTTTGGGCGACCGCCTAGATTGCCAGTCGATCTGGCATTTGGCTTACCTGTTCATCACCAACCAGGTTCACACTCTCAGTATGTTCAAAACCTGAGATCCCATCTCGAAACAAGCTACAGAGTTGCTTCTGAAAATGCAAAGAAAGTAGCAGATCGCAACAAAACAAGATTCGATAAACGTGTCGTTGAATCTACTCTAAAAGAAGGTGACAGAGTCTTGGTCAGAAACATTCGCCTTAGGGGTAAACATAAGCTAGCGGACAAATGGGAGACAGACGTTTACATCGTCCTAAGACAATCTGGAGACGTTCCAGTATATGTTGTGAGGCCTGAAAATGGAAAAGGTCCACAAAGAACCCTACACCGTGACCTTTTGCTGCCATGTGGTTTCCTTCCTTTAACCCCAGTGGAAGATGGAACTAACACACAAGGGCCCCCAATACGGCCAAGAACTCGACAGCAACCAAGACAAGAAAGCTCTGATGGAGCGAATGAGATCGAATCCCAATCTGACCCAGATGAATATTATCACGATGGTCACAGATACCTAAGTGTGGAGGCTGTAGATTTCAATAACATCTCCGAAACTACAGAACAGCCCCTTAGTGAAATTGAACAAGAACCTCTTGAAATGGTATCTACTATTGAGCAAAAATCTTCAGATGTAGCCGAAGCTTTCCCTGAAGACGGGCCTGTGGAAACCTCTGATTCTGACTTATCTGCTAGAGACCCTGCAGAAAGCAACCTACCTGATCCCTGTGGAAACAGTCCACCTGCTGGACAGAAACCAGCATACCTACCTAAACAGGTCCTGAGTGTCCAACTCAAGCAACTCCGGAGAAGAATGAAAATGAAAGCAATATCAATCAATCTGAAACGGAAATGGAGAAAGAAACCCTCAGAAGATCCATCAGAGACAAAAAGACCCCTAAAAGACTGACTTACCCTGAGCTGGGAAATCCATTAGCTATGATAGTACAGTCTTTATTTCAGAGCCTTACTGAAGTCATAACAGATTCACTCATACAACCTAAATTAGAAACACAAAGAGTCCTGACAATATAGACTTCTAAAACAATGCACAGGGACGTGCATTAGGTAAAGTGGGGAGGATGTAACCCACATTAAAACATAGTAAGCATAAAGTCATTCAAAAGTGATTTAATTAAAGGATAAACGTTTACAATTGGTCAATGATAACATTGACCAATCCCTTTAAAAATAATAATAAATACAAGTAGTATGACAAATTACAAGGTACTGTTCCTTAGTTTAAGGGATCTCTGCTCACCACCAGACACGCGCAGCGTAGCAGGAGAAAAGAGAAAACGGAGCAAGACGCAGATGAGACGAGCGGAGTAAATTATATTAAAAGTGATTCAAAGTTGATTTAAAAAAGATAAAAATACCATCCACACGGTCGGGAAACCCAGTAGACGGTAAAGAACATTAACCATCGGTGTTTTGGTCAGGTTTTTTGGACTGGATAAAAAAGTTGATCGCGAGTGAGAGGACAACACACACACGCGCTCTGATACAAGATGGCGAGCCAGACCCATGGACTGCTTTGATCTTCGTGCCAGTGAGAGGACTTGCTGGTTTATCAAGAGACAATAGCTGAACTCACTGCCAGAGTGGTAGGAGTATTGAAGAAATTATAAGGTTGGAACTGGATTTAAGTTGTACCTGGATTTAAAGAGACACTATATATTGTACTCTAATATATAGGTTTTCATTTGTCATTTGATTTCATTGATGGTACAATTGTGTTTTTTTCATTGAATTAGATATATTTTACCTGTGAAAAGGGAAAAGAAAAAGAGTTAACTCAGGATATTGAAGAGATTAAAATAGGAAAGATCTATAAATAATACTTAGTAGACCAGTCTAAAATAAAATAGGCTATTTTATTTTGTTCATCCTATATGGATACCATTTACTAAGTCACAGAAATCAGAAAACAAGGGAAAGGTGAAATACTTACCTCTGATTATACTGCAGAAAATATTCATTGTCTATGTTTAATGTTTTGTCTATTTGTCTATTTCGTCAGTAAATTGCCGGCTGTTCTATTCAAACCACCTGGTCTCTGGTCTAATTACTTACCTGTCTATCCACTCTAGTAGAACCCAGAATCCTTCTAGTCAGATAGCATAGCCCAAGATAAGAAGTGTTACACATGTATTGGTCATAATGGGTAATTCAGATTTATAATCAGGGGTGCACATAACATTTTTAGTGAGTTACTCAGATGAGTACCAGGAGACAGCATTTGGTACTCACCCCACACGAAGTGTGGTCCTCCTCAGTGTCTCCTTCACTGTCCTCTATTTACACTTCTTACATGCTAGATGATGAAGATGATGAAGATGCACCTCCCTGTATCTTTTTAAGCCTCCGATTTGCTTTCTCCAAACTTGTTGCCAAAACTGTGAAGTCCTTGCATTTCCTGAGGCCAAGTTGAAGGATCAAATACTAAGAAATTATCACATGACTTGAAGTTATAGCTGATTTCAGATGTGGGAAGTTACTAAGTACACTTCTTCAAGTACTGTACTTAAGTACACTTTTGAGATATTTGTACTTTACATGACTTTGATGCTACTTTGTACTTCTACTCCACTACAGTTCAGAGGTAAATGGTTTACTTTTAGTCCATTACATGTATTTAATACCTTTAGTTACTTTACAGATCTGGATTAATGATGTGAAATATAATCAAGTGTTAAATCAGACTTTAGTTCCACCTGGAGTAAATTCACAAGCTACCCTGCAGTAGCCTATACAAAGTCATTCAAACTAGCTGCACCTCTACCAGATAACACTTTAATGATCAATCATTATAAAACATATCATATATATTATTCTGAAATGGACCAATGTACTTTTACTTTTGGTACTTTAACTATATTTTGATAATACTTTTCTAATTTTACTAACGTAACATTTTGAATGCAGGACTTTTACTGTAACAGAGTAACACTCTGGTACTTCTACTTTTACTCAAGTACAAGATCTGAGTACTTCTTCCACCTCTGTCTGATTTCAAACTCTTCCATTAACACCCTGAGTAAGTTTGCAACTGTTTGTTTTACTGCACTTTGTTGTAATTAAAACTGCAGCAGCTTGACCACAGAGCGTGAACGTTTGGGATCAGTTGATTTTGCGCAGTTCTCCAGTGTGTGCGCGGGGCACTGAATGTGCACAGGGGAGCCTACCACTGCAGCCAGTTGGCGGAGTTTTGGCACAATGATGTTGTTCATACCGAAGTTAACCCTGTCTGTGCACACGGTGACCAACTCTGTCGTCCAGTGATCTAAGCCTCTGCCTCCTGTAAGCTTCACAGGTCCGTCGGTTATGTCCTGCACGGCTCGGCCAGCACCCAGTTCAATCAGTCATAGGAAGTCCGAAGATTTCTTGCAGGGAGCGAAACGGCAACGTAGCTGCTTAATGTCTTTGTTTTTTTGACATGCCTAGTAGTTTACTCCATTGAGTCTTGACAAGAAACACTTGTAGACGAAATATGTGTTTTTGTTTTTGATGTTTTGAGCTAAGCAAAGGCGCGTAGTGACAAAAGTGACGTTACGCAATTCAGATTTGTGCCGCGCAGGCGTACCTGCGTACCAGTTATGTGCACCCCTGTTTATAATATACCAAGCAACTGTACTGCTTGAAAATTGGATTTTTAAAGGCATGACCAAATAAAAGGTCGTTTTGTGAGGATTATGCACATTTGTCCCCAATTTGATAATCATTAACATTTTTGTTTGATAGCCTTTATATCATTTAAATATGGACTGTTTATTCAGTAATGTAAGAGTTTAGTTTAAAAACAGCTTGTATTCAAACGGCATGGTCTGTCTGTAAAAAGTAATATTTCAAATAAATACAGAAATAAATCTGACAATTTTTTCGTGTTGTACGTCTGCCATAAGGTTTACAATGACTAAAGATTACAAATGTGTATCTATATAATTAGAAAACTGAGATTTGTTTCTAAAAATAATTGAGTCAGGTCATTTGAGTATAACCCTAGCCCCTCAATGAGTTGTTTCTCCTTATTATAAATGTAGAAATAACTATATAACGATCTCATAAATCTGAAAACAATTAGAAATGACTTGCAGTGTTTTGTATAACATAAGGCGGCCACTCTGTGTGAGACCACAACAACTGCTCATTTATTACACAGTTCAGTTCATCTGTTCCTATAGAAAATTACTAACGCTTAAACAGAATATGTGAACATTAAAGCACAGCTTTATTTTTTCCCCCAGTGTCTTTATTTCAAGTTTTCACAGTGGTTCTTCAAAAAGATTACATTGAAATTATAAAAAAAACAAAACATCTCTTTACAGAGAGGCAACATATATATTGTGTCTGGTCAGCAAAGCAATGTGTGAAGATATCAGAGGTGGGGGGGGGGTCTTAGGATGGGACAGGGACCATTTTACTGGCTGATTTCACCGATCTTCTGCTTAATCTTTTCCATCTGCTGCTCGAACCAGGTCCTGAGGAGGATAACAAAAAAACGAGCGTTACGTGTGTGTGTGTGGTGTGTGTGTGTGTGTGTGTGTGTGTGTGTGTGTGTGTGTGTGTGTGTGTTGAGAGAGAGAGAGAGAGAGAGAGAGAGAGAGAGAGACAGAGAGAGAGAGAGAGAGAGAGAGAGAGGAGAGAGAGAGAGAGAGAGAGAGAGAGAGAGAGAGAGAGCGTGTGCGTGCGTCCTTACTGTGAGCTGGCAACAAATTCGCTGCTTCTGATGCCTTCAAAGGTTGTCTGGGCCTTGTCTGCCAGATTCTTGCCCATCTCACCCATCTGGTTTGTGAACACAGCAAATTTCTCCTCCACGGTCGCCTCCGCCTCCGCCTCCTGAGCCTCTGCAGGTTTGTAACATAAACAGAAAAAGTTACACAGCATGAACGGAAACGTAGCTTGGAGTTTATTTTCTTAAATTAACCCGAGACATACGTGTGAATGCGGCCAAAGCCAGCACCAGCATGGCAACTACGAGGTACAGTCTCATCTTGGCTGGGAATTTCAGAATGGGGGAAGAAAAAGACAGGCTACGGGTTATAACAATATATTTTTTTAAAAGTGTAATGAGTCAAGGATACAAAATGACTAATTTATTGTCTCAAAAAACAGCGCATTCCCATCAGCACCACCGCGGCTGGACAGCTCCATTTGCGTGCCGTTACGATGTAATGATTAACAACAAATACAATTATCCAGACTTAAGGTACAAAATTACACTTTCAACCAGTGGCGAGCCATGACTTTTATACCTAGGCCCTCTGACCCCCACCCCTTCCCTTGAGTTATTACGTCACAGCGTATACTTCAGTGGAATATCAAAATAACGGCCCGGGGTGCAAAACGCATCAATGAAAGCGACCCTCTACCACACAAAACAACACCTGTAAATAACCCTATTTGTGTTCTTTGAAATTGAAAAGGATATTGCATTGTGTTTGTTACTTTCGTTGCAGTTGTATGTCTTAAGTGTAATTTGGCATGCTTTTATTTTGAAGGCGAGTTAACGCTGTTGACAGGAAGTTGTTGTTGCTATGGAAACAAGAAAAGTTTCACAGCAGGCGGAACTTGTCATAAAGAACGCGATAATAACACCCACCCTATTTAGCGGGAAGATATGATTGGTCAATTGTACTGTCATTTGACATTACTCTCTCGTTCAGTTACTATAGCGGGCCCTCTGTGAATTCATAGCTGGACCGCCTGGACGTCCAACAGCTCCTCTCTTCACAGTAACTCGCAGAGACGAGTTTCTTTCATTTAACCCTTCACATTCCAACATAAACTGAATAGGCAGATTCGAAGGATTTATTTCTTTGGAAATGTTATTTTAAATACAATTAAATCAAGTTATTTTGGTAAAACTAATGAAAAATATAACTTTAAAAAAAATATATATATATAATTATTTTAATGTTTTTAAATATTATTTTGTAGAATATCTTAGGCCCTCACAGAGGGCCTAGAGGGCCCTGACGGCTCGCCACTGCTTTCACCATATTTACTCCGTGTGACACTCAGTCGTCAATATTAACAAACAAATCCCCTTAGGTATCAGCAAGGGTTTGCATAGAAACTTGAGGACAGTTTTTTAAAAGTGTTATCGTCCGTGTCCTAAGCATGCCGCTATTTTTGTTTGATTCTACCAGTGATGCAAATAAAATGTCAGACATACCTGTTGTTCTTCTCAGAGGAGGGCAAAAATTGAGTGTGTTTGAGAGTCTATGTGAGTTCCTCTTTATAAGCCCGCTGCACTCTTGGAGGGTGACGCAGAAACAACAGACATCAGTCAACATGTACACGTGGAGACCTTGAGGTGCCACTGCCCCCTTTGCTGACCAGCAGCGTGCACTTGCATTACAAGATAGATGACTAATTATAGCCTACTGCGTCATGATTATGTTGTAGCCTATGCAGCATACTGAAAAGGTAGATAAAGTCATCACTTTGTGCAGGATCTAATCATCAATTGCAAACAATGGGTCGTTAATCAGAGACTGTAGCGATCTATATGTGGAGGTATGGTGTGGACAAAGACCAGGAGAAATATTGGTTAATTTGATATGTATATGATGATGTCTCCCCCTGCCACAAAGTGTGTCAAAGATGAGATGTGATGCAGGGGAACATAGTTCAGCCCTGATAGCATTACCTCCAACTGATCTGAGCTATTTGGAAGCTCCTTTGGACCTTTAGTGTTGGCCATGCATGCCCTCTGTGTCAAAACAAGGGTTGCATTTATTGGTCATAATGGCTAATTAATATTTATAATACCAAGCAACTGTACTGCTTGACATTTGGATTTATAAAGGCATGACCAAATAAAAGGTCGTTTTGTGAGGATAATACACATCTGTTTTGTATCAATTGCATTTTTCTTAAACGTTTTTCACTTCTTGAATACCTTTGCATGACATAGTGGGATACTACACTTAAAACAAATGATATATTCAACATTGCTTTAAACGTTGAGGGGGGAAATATCTCAATTGTGACAGTATACTTTAAAATCAGATAATTACAGTTTACAGTTAAAATGCAAAACAAATAAGATCATTTGTACAAACATAAAATAAATAAATAAAATACATTATGTACAGTTTAAAAATAAAATACATTATGTACAGTTTAAAAATAAAATACAGAGTGCAAAATAGATGTGTGAATTAAAATAATATATATATATAATACAAATAAAAACGTCTAGCTTTGGCATTAATATTAATAATGAAAAGTGAAATTATGTGGTAACAATTTACAGTAAAAAATCAATAATGCATTTTTTTTTAAAAGGGAGGGGGGTAAGAATAACACAACAATCATCATATTAAACCGCACAGAGATTATCCATCTTAATATATCAATTTGAAAAGTAGTAACATTACAAAATGAGGTAGCCTAATGATATTTCATTATAAATGGAAATACCTGTGTCCTTTTATCACAGTTTTTAATGTGTATTAATTATATATTATACGGTATTATCTGCTGATTAAACTCAACTGATTTGTTAAACATTTCTAAATACGTTAATAGGGCAGAGGCCTCTGATCTGAAGCAGGCTGCAACGTCCCATTGTGTTTTGGTGTGTTTTTCCATGTACTGCTCTACTGAAATAGTCCCTTGCCTAATTGATGTGTCTTTTACCCATAACCTTCTCTTTCTTAGAGGGGAAGTAAGTCTGACAAAGCCTCATGTGGTCTATCTTGTACGTTAGCATGCAACGGAAAACAGTACAGTCAGTTGAACTGCAGTAACCCCTCATTACGACTGTGACCTGAGTTAGAGCCAGGAAGTCTGTGCGTGAGGTTTGAAGGCTTCATCACTGCTTAACATATCAGCTCTCACACCAAGTGGTCTGCTGCAAAGGGCCAAATGCCCATGTGTTGCTGATAACTTGGCCCATGAAGGCTATTGCTGTGGATGTAAAGCCAGTTAAATAAGCCTTCACTTGCCTCAACACCCACACATTACCTCTCCATCTTTTGTCATGAAGTGGCCAGTGGGTTTATGTATGAGCTTGTGCTTGCGTGCATTTAAGCTCCTCTTGAATAATTGCAGGAGGCATAGGGCGTGAAAGTGCACGTCTTGCATGCTCCCAATTTGCAATAACAAGCTTACAAAAAGACTGTTTTTGTGTTTGGCCAAGTGTTCCTGTGGTGCCTGGTTGTGTGTGCCAGTTCTGAAGGGGAGGGAAATGACGGGAAGAAGAGAGGGGGTTGTAATAGGAGGTAAAATCTCTGCATGTGGTGTTTTTGGAGGGGTTACTTGCAGTCACAGACAAGCTAACACCTGCTAGTTTGCTGGAACTTTTTTCTGTTGCAGAGCAGTAGTCAGAGTGCAGCCTTCCTATAGGAGTAGACGGAGCAGAAGTGCTGAACGGGCAGAATGCTTGTGGTTTTCCTGTTTTTACCATCAGTGACGGATCGTTGCAACAATGGACTGTTTAATATAGGAGTTTCGCTTGTCTGCTTTTTTCTAAATAAACACAGGTTCCTGAAAGGAGTGATATCATAGGGGACAAACACATAGTCATGGTGTTATGCAATGCCCTTTAACACAGATAGAAAGGGTAAACAAGTTTTCTTATAACACAAAGAGATCGTTTTGTAAATAATGAAAGCTTATATTACCAAATGTTGACCTTTCAGAGATATAACCCATGCGCATATTTGGTGCGTTATGCATGTGTTTTAATTTGACAAATCGCCAAGAGATGTGTTAACAGCTCTTTCACTAACATACATCTCAGAAAGATGTGTGTTGTGCTCCCTAACTCAGAGGGAGTGTGTTTCTTTGTGAAAAGAAAACACAGCTGAATCTTCGCACAGCACAAACTCAAGCAAAGGGTCAGACAAGAGGAGAGGAACAAGGGACAAATGGTGTCCTCTACTGGCCCCTGCTGAGGTTCATGAGCATAAGACTTTTTGAACGTTTATATTGGAAAAGTGTGACGAACCTCACTTTGGGTCAATGATGACCACGATAGGCAATAGTTGGTACACTTTCTGATAGGGACAGTTGCCTATCTCAGGGGTTACATAATTAACTAAATTGACCTTTTTTAAAACAGCTGACAATGTGGAAACAGATAGGAAATATGGGGGAAAAGAGGGGTAAGACTTGCATAAATGATCCTTTGTCAGAAACATTTTATTGATATGCATCTTAACCTCTAGGCCACCTTGATGCACATGCTTGCAAAACACATTCTGTACGCGCATGTTGGCACAAACAGTATCTGGCCCTGTTTGAATATCTCTTTTGGGCCAATCTGAGAAAACACATGTATAAAAAGTCACTAATGCATGGTTATAATTCTCTTGCACTAGTTTTTTGTGATTTATCTGTTCTGTCCTATATATATGTTGCACTGTTGGAGGAGCCTGTGACCTAAGTCTTTCATTGCCATCTACAATATCTAATGTGCAAATGACAATAAAGCCTTGAAACTTGAAGTTATATGTTAATATGAGCACAAACTAAAGTAGACATGATAGTGAAGCATTTAAACGATATTATCAATGGCACAAGATGTTCCCAAATACCGGTTTGGATGGAGAGAAAGGAACCTGGGATCAGATCTGAACAAGTCTGGACTTGCAGGGGTTGCTCTAATGGAAGAGCAAGAGAAGGGTGGAGAATTGGGGTAGCGTGCATGTGCAGAGAGAAGACTTTAAGATGTATTTCTTGTGGAGAATTTGATATAAGGCACCAATCAGCAAAGAAGTTAATCAGGTTGATAATCTTAGCACAAAATAGGTCCCTTTAAAACCGTATTAGGTTTTTATTTTTAAATAATCACCACTTTATTCAAACTGGTTAAATGTGTAATACTTATACAGTACATGTAATGTCAAGTTACTGAACCCTTGTCCTAATGATTGATTACTCTTTTATCAGAGAAGAAAACAATGGAAACAAAACATATCTTCTAAGTTCTTTATTTTCTCTCAGCACACAGTGCACTTACAGTGGGAACTACATCAGAGTAAAGAACGGACAGTGTTACACTCTTGTCAGAAAAGCATCAATTCATTTTACATCCCACTTCTCTGTGAGGCACAATTGCAAATGTAGATAATACAGAAGGGCACTTTAGTGGTTCACTATCTTCTGATCATCATAACTCAGTGCATTATTTGAAATGAAAGACACGTGGGTGTGTATTTAGAGATGATACGGGTTAATGAAATGTACACAACCTTGGGAGGACAGACAGAGCAGTTAAAAAATGAAGCATATAACAAAACTGTTTTGAGTATTAATGGCAGTTATCGACTGGGGGGCTAGTGTTCAATAGTTAAGGGAGTTGATAAGATAAGAAGGGGTGACTATGCAGAATAACTAACAGATGTGTATCTGCTGACTGTTCTGTATAGACAACCTCATCTTCCTTCATCTCTTCCACCCCCCTCACCCTGAACAAAAACACCCCAAAATGAAGATATGAACAGTAACTCTCAACTCCCCGCCTTCCTCCATCTTTGCCAGGGTATTAAGAAGTCTTTATGCAGAGGCCTCCTTGACCTTCAACACGATGTTCTCGATCTGCTCACGGATCTGGGTGGCGTAGGGGGAGATAATCTCGGTCAGCTCGTCGATCTTGCTGTCCAGGGAGGTGCGCAGCTGCTGGGCGGTGTCCTCCAGCTGGGTCTTGATGCCTGCGGCCTGGGTCTCCAGCTGCTCGGTCAAGGTCTCGGCCTGGCTCTTCAGGATGGTGGAGATGTCGCTCAGCTTCTTGCCTGCGACCTCGCTGGCCTGCTGGACGTAGGGCTCAACATTCTCCTTCACTGTCTCCAGGTTCTGGGAGGTGCGGGACTGGATCTCACCCATGTAGGTGGCGACGGTGCTTGCGTGGGGAAAGAAGAAGAAGAAAATATTTAGATTTCAAGAACACAAAGACAATAAATTGGTACGTTTGAGACCCTCCACCCTACTTACTTGCGGATCTCATCAGTGTCCTTGTTCAGGCGCTTCTTCAGCTTGTGGGTGTAGGTGCTGATGCGACCGCGAACGTCATTGGTGTTCTGCTCCATCATGGTCTTCAGCTCGCCCAGGTACTCAGTGCTGCGCTCCTTGGCGTCCAGCATGTCCTTCTGGAGCTTGTTGGTCAGCAGCTGCAGATCTTCAGACATCTGGCCGGTGGAGCTTTCGGTGTAGGGAGCAAGTTTGGACTGGATGCTTTCTCTGTATACGGTCAACTCTGCCATGCTGTCTGAGATCAGAGTGCTGGATGGACAAGAAATTACAAATTAGGATTGGAGGCATAGGATGAGGTTACAGAGATGTATGAACAAGTAAGGAATTTAACTGAGAGGATTTGAAGTTTCAACAAAATATAAATGATTATGGTTCACTTACTCTAGCTCCCTGCTGAGCTGGGAGACCT